CCTTATCTCTGCTCCTGCAGCCCCTGTGCCTGTTACTGAGTTGGGCCTCTTTATTTATTTTTTTGTCACTGTTGTGATTCTCATTTCATGGATGAGGGAATTGATGCACAGAGTGGTTAAGTCACACACCCAAGGTCACTAGAGAGTGATGAAGCTGGTATTTGAACCCACGTTTTTCCACTTTAGGACTCTGGCACAAGACAGAGGTTCTTTCAGGACAGCCTAGGAGGGGGAAAGGGAAGAGAACGCTGCTAATAATTTCCTTCTTACAGCAATTAATTTGCAATTTCTTCTTATTTATTCAGAAATGAAATTCAGAGGCAGTAAAGCCCTGGTAGACTGAATAATGCACTGCCCCCCCCACACACACACAAATATGCCCATACTCCAGTCACTAGAACATGTGAATCTGCATCCTGACATGGTGAGGAGGATTTTGCAGGTGTGATTAAATTCAGGATGTTGACAAGGGGAAATTATCCTGGATTTCCTGGATTATCCAGGTGGGGTCTTTATAAGAATGAGACAGAAGAATAAGAGTGAGGAGTAGGAGGTTTGACAACAGAAGCGGGAGGCTGGAGTGATATGAGAAAGGCCACAAGCCAAGGAATGCAGGCGGTCTCCAGAAGCAGAAAAACAAGAGAATGGTTTCGCCCCTCAGTCTCCAGAAAGCACGGGACCTGCAGGCAACTTCATTTTAGACTTCTGACCTTTAGAACTACAAGACGACAAATTTCTGTTGTCTTAAGCCACTAGGTTTCTGGTAATTGGTTACAGCAGCTGTAAGAAATGAATATAAAAACCAACCTACACCTATACTGTAAAAATAAAATCATTATAATGTCATAATCCACTATGTTTCAGGCATTTCTTGGATATTATTTCATTTTTTCATTCACTCAGTTCTTTCATTCAACAAACATTTATGGAGTACCTACATTCTGCTAGGCACTAGTCTAGGAATTCGGGGTCTATTAGTGAATGTAACAGAGTCAGTGTCCTTTGAGGGCATCCACACAAGGTGGGGATGAAATCAAACACCACATAAGCAAGTGTATTTACAATAACATATACAAAATAGGTTGTGATTAAATGAATTCATATTGGTGTAGTTCTTAGAATGAGACAAGCATAGATAAATGTTAAGTAAATGAAATATAATGTCAAGTAGTTAAAAAGGGCTTGAGAGAAAAACAAAGCAGGGTAAGGGAAAAGGGTGAGTTGAGGGCTGTTTAGGCAAGTGGTCAAGGAACCCTCTGGCCAAGGTGACATATGAGCAGAAGCATCTGGCCAAAGTGACATTTGAGCAGACGAGACAACCCCACTAGGGAGGCGTAGAGATCCTGGGATCTACCTGGTTCAAACTACCTCCAGTTTGGGAGCCAGGTCTGGCACTTCCTTTGTCGGAGGCTCACTTTCTTCCTCTGTAAAGGAGATAAGAATAACAGTACTTATCTCATGGGCTGGTTGTGAGATTGAATGTTAAAATCCTAAGCCTCAGGACCCGTGAATTTGACCTTATTTGGAAATAGAGTCTGCGCAGATGTCTGCAAGTTAAGATAAGGTCATTAGGGTGAGCCCTAGTCCAATACGACTGTGTCATTATGAAAAGGGAAAATTTAGAGACAGAGACGCCAGGAAGTCACTATGTGAAGACTGGCATTTTCCCACTATAAGCCAAGGAACACAAACCTTAGAAACTAGGAGAGGAGCATAGAACTGATTCTCACAGCTCTCAAAAGGAACCAGCACTACCAACAACTTGATTTAAGACTTCTGGTCTCTAGATCTGTGAGGCAACAGATTTCTACTGTATGAACCATCCGGTTTGTAGTACTTTGTTACAACAGTCCTAGGAAACTAATATATCTAATATTATCACTTCTTTGGACGTAGAAACTGAGACTTAGAGCAGAGATAGGATTTGAACTCAGGCCAAAAAGACCCCATGGTCCATGTGTAGGTTATAGGTCTTTCTAGTCTGAGAGGTGACAGTTCGGATGCGCCCCAGCATGTAGGGTATGGTATTCAGGGACTCAAAACCTTGGCCACTTGGCCTACAGTGTCCAAGTGTCACTGGTATCCAAGGCATCAGCAACCAGGCAGCCAAGAAATCCTTGTCCCTGTGTGGAATTGGTTGAAAGTTCCCTTCTTCTACTCCCCACTGATAGAATCTGGTTTCTTGGATTTTTCCTTCAGGCCTCCCCTCCCTTCTGCAGTGGGTGTATTCACAAGATTTGGGCTATCCTGACTCTGCCTCTGACTCACTGTATGACCACAGGCAATACACTGACCAGCTTATAGGAGAGAATGATTAACCATCCCATGAGAGGTGATTGGTTAGATAAATTTTGGTATATGCATATAATGGCCCTCCTGGATGGCCTTCAATGATCCACATCTCCTGGCATCCATGCCTTCGTGGAGCCCTCCAGTCTGTAACTCCAAGAATATTGCAGATATGACAGTGTATGTCTTCTGAGGCTAGGTCATGAAAGACACTGTGGCTTCCATCTTGCTTTCTCTTGGACCACTCAGTCTGGGGCAAGCCAGCTGCCATGTCATGAGGACACTCAAGCTGCCCTATGGAAAGGGATCCTCATGATGAGGAACTGAAGCCTCCTGCCAACAGCTACCACCAACCTACCAGCCATGTGAGGGAACTACCTTGAATGTGGACCCTCCAGCCGCTATCAAGCCTTCAGATGAGGCTGTAGCCATGGCAATGTCCTGACTGCAGTCTTGTGAGAGACACTGAGAGAGAATCACCCAGTGAAGCTGCTCCCAGATTTCACATTCACAGAAAATGTGTGAGATCATAAACGGTTACAGTTTTAGGTTGCTGGATTTTGAGGTAATTTGTTATACAGCAATAGAAAATGAATACAGCAGCCATATAAAACATGTTATAAAACAGTGTACTACTGCATAAAAAGTTTCATAAAATGTTAAGCGAGAGAAAAATAAAGCAGGTCACCGAACAGTATATGAACAATGAGAGTAGGATCCCAGTTTTTGGAAGAAAAATATGAAGAGTTAGAAAACTCTATTAAACAACAAAAGAGAAGACATAAATGAAGAAATGGAGATGATTTGTTTTTGCATGAAAAGAATCACCATAATAGAATTATCAATCTCTAAATTAAATTAAATGCAATTCCAATGAAAATCTCAACCTAATTTTCTGGGTGTAAGGGATCTTGATAAGAGATAATAGCACTTGTTATCAAACAAGCTGACTTTTGTTTAAAATAAATATTGAACCAGCTAACATTTGTTAAAAACAACAGGCCCAAAATAGAATTGCTTATGCTAAGCCCCACGTCATCAAACCTAGATTTAATTTAATTACAGTTTTGGCTCTCCCAGAAATGGAATCTTAAACCAGTCAATCAGGAACTGCCTAATCAGTACCAGTTAGGAAATCTGCCTGATACAGCCTTGCCATTCTCTAAAGGAAAATAACTTGTAATAACCAATCTGCTTTTTTTTTTTTTTTGGCCTGGTACATATAACTTCCTTGTTCCATCTCCCTTCTGCCTATAAAAGTCTTTCATTTTGTACAGCTCCTCAGAGCTCCTTTCTGCCTGCTAGATTGGGTGCTGTCCAATTCATGAATTGTTGAATAAAGCCAATAAGATCTTTAAAATTGTATTCAGTTGAATTTTGTTTAACGTATTTACTGGACATACCCTCTGCATTGTGCCCTGTGACTATCAGTTTCATCTTAATTCCACAATAAGAGAAAATCTCTAGTTATTTTTCCAATGTTAAGAAAATTTTATTAACCCTTTCTCCCCCCAGTTCTACATGAGAGGCTTTGAGGGGGTTTGTCTGAGATCCTGGGGACCATGAGGGGTGGAGCTAGGGGTTGACACTACAGTGTGTGCTCTTGGACCTCCTGTCATGGGCCTCCTGATTTCATTCTGGCTTCCTTCAGTACCAGCCCAAGATCACAAAGGTAGGGAGCGCAACTGAGACTGTTGAGCTCCAGAGTCCTCGTCTTAATGACTGACTCCCCCACGAAGCTAACTGTGGCAGAAGGGGTAGGCAAACTCCAAAAAAGAAGAGTAAAGAGAAGGGATCTGTTCTACCAGATATTAAATATGTGACAAAGCTGCAGAAATTAAGACGGAATGAACACTGGCTTAGAAAGAGTCAGATAGATCAACAGACTATGATGGAAATCCAAACTCACAGGAAAGTTTAGCGAATGTTAAAAGCAGGTAGGTATCAGTGGAGAAGATGTGAGTGACTCAACCAACCGTTTCAGTGCCATTGGCTAGCAAATAAAGCTGGGTCCCTATCCCCCACTCTTTTGTACTCAAATTAATTCCAAATGAATCAAATATTTAAATATATCAAAACTCTCAAATGTTCTAGAAAGTCAGTGTAGGGCAGATGGGGGAGAGCAGGGTTTCTAAATATGACATTAATGGCAGAAACCATAAAGGAAAAAAGAGAAATAGATTTGAGTACAAAAAAGTTCTGCCTCCTGCAGAGAATTCTCCTGGTGAATGATTCCTTTGCCCTGACCCGAGTGCATTTCCAACCTGCTAGGAGGCAATGTTGTTTATTAACCTGCATCAGAAAGATCTTTGGTTCCTAAAACTCCAGCCAAATAAACAGAAATTGCTTCCAAAACTTCTTTGGTGCTTTCTGTCACGATCAGCAAACTTTGGACTTCTGAGTACTTTCTTAAGGGCCTTACAACTGACTGAGTGAGCCCTATACCCCTGTGGGATTTAGAACAAATACCTTCCTCTCTTTGGGCCTCAGTTTACCCAACTATAAAATGGACAGATTCAATTAGCCAGTGTTTCTCAATTTTTTCTTTTCCTTTCTTTCCTTTTTTTCTTTCCTTCCTTTTTTTCCCTCCTTCCTTCCTTCCTTCCTTCCTTCCTTCCTTCCTTCTTTCTTTCTTTCTTTCTTTCTTTCTTTCTTTCTTTCTTTCTTTCTTTTTTCTTTCATTTTTTTTTTTTTTACCCCTACCCCCTGACAAGTGTCTAGAAACACCCCGGCATGAGCCCACTGAAGCTGTGCTCACTGCTACAAGCAAAGATTCTAAGGTGCTCTGGTCCACAAGAGACCCTTGATGGGCCACAGGCTGACTAGCAGGGGTTAGGATGGACCTTTTTTTTTTTTTTTTTTAAACTCATGGCTCCTTCTGATAAAGATTTAAAAATTTTTCACATCCCTCCTTGGAGATACCTTCTACTCATTCCAATAGCTATTCCAAGAATATTCTGTGGAACTTTACTTTCTGTAGTTTGTATCATGTAAACCAGGAATCCCCAATCCCCAGGCTGTGGACTGGTCCTGGTCTGTGGCCTGTTAGGAACTGGGCCACACAGCAGGAGGCGAGCAGTGGGCAAGCCAGCAAAGCTTCATCTGTATTTGCAGCCGCTCCCCAGCACCAGCATCACTGCCTCAGCTCCACCTCAGATCATCAGGCATTAGATTCTCACAGGAGGACCAGTCTCTGGTTCCAAAAAGATTGGGGACCACTGAAAAACAATAGGTGTCTCCCCACCTCATTTTCCAAGATTAAATAATAATACTGAATATGCTTTTTGCACACATCTCAGGACTCTGAAGCCACAGCCCACGTCCAGTCCAGCTGTGTGGGGAGTCCCTGTGTGGTGCCCGAGGCCCCTCAGTTAAGGGGCCTCGGGCACCACACAGGGACTACTTTCACTCAGTTAAGCTCTCTAGTGTGGTAGCTGAGTGCTCCAGCTCTGGATACAGATTACCTAGATGAGGGTCGCCAGATAAAATACAGAGCGTCTTGCATGAAATCCTAAAACTCCTAGAAGGAAACATAGGCAGTAAACTCTCTGACATTGCTCTTAGTAATATATATATTCCCTTCCCTAGGGCAAGGGAAACAAAAGAAAAAATAAATAAATGGGACTACATCGAACTAAAAATTTTTTGCATGGCAAAAGGAACCATCAACAAAACAAAAAGACAACCTACTGGATGGGAGAAGATGTTTGCCAATGATACATCCAATAAGGGGTTAATATCCAAAGTTTTTAAAGAACTCATAGAACTTAACACCAAAAAAAGAAACCAAACAATCCAGTTTAAAAATGGGCAGAGGACCTGAACAGACAATTCTCCAAAGAGGAAATACAAAACAAAACAAACAGATTCATAGATACAAAGAAAAAAATTGGTGGTTGCCAGATGAGTGAGGGGTTGGGGGATGGGTGAAAAGGTGAAGGCAGTGAGAAGTACAAATCAGTAACTTCAAAATAGTCATGCGGATGTAAAGTACAGCATAGTCAATGGTATTGTAATAACTATGCATGATGCCATGTGGGTACTAGATTTATGGGGGGGATCACTTTGTAAATTATATATATGTCTAACCACTATGCTGTACACGTGAAACTAATATAAAATAATATTGAATGTCGACTGTAATTGAAAAATGAAAAGTTAAAATTAAGTAAAAAAGAAAATGGGATTATACTAGTATTAAAACCTGAAAACATGTTACAAAAGAAGAAAACTGCAGACCAGTATTCCTCGTGAACGTAGAAACAAAACTCAAAATATTAACAAATTATATCCAGTAATACATGAAAAGAATACATCAAGCACACAACTTGATGTATTCACATCACAAAAGCAAGACTGGTTCAACATTTAAATATCAGTATAATTCACTATATAAAAGACTAAAGAAGTAAAACTACATCATCTCAATAGATGCAGAAAAAGCATTTCGCAAAATTCAACATTTACTACTAATCAAAACTACTGAGAGATTAAAAAAAAAGAACAAATGATTGATTCGTACAAAAACATAAATGAATCTTAAATGCATTTTGCTAACTGTAGGAAGCCAGACCCAAAAGTTACATATTGTATGACTCTATTCATATGACATCCTGAAAAAGGCAAAACTGTAGGAAACAAAAACAGATTAGCAGTTGCCAGGAATGGGGAATGAGAAGAGGGTTTGACTACAAAGGGGTAGCACAGGGAATTTTGGAAGATGATGGAACTGTTCTGTATGGTTATATGGTGCTGGATACAAGACTACGTATTTGCAAAATGCCATGGAACTGTACAACATAACCAGTATATTTTATTACGTGCATGTTTTTAAAAAGTCAATCAGTATTACGCAGGATGGAATATAGACTATGGCAACGAATCTACATGTATTACAAATGTATGACATATGCACACGGAAGGGAATTTGGAATAAAGACGCTGATCTAAATTTTTTTAAAAAATACAGGGTGTCTTGTAAAAAATAGATCTGGCAACCTTAACCTGGGTTTGAATATGGGCCTCTGCTCATACGCAGTGTCACTGTGGACGAGTTCTTTCTTATTTCTCTCTCTTTATCTCCTTCTTTCCTTGCTTTTTTCTTCCTTCTTCCCTCCCTTTATTTCTTCCTTCTTTCCTTCCTCATTCGCTCTCCCACTCCTTCCCTCTTTCTTTATAATTGTATCAAGTACATTAATCTTAATCCTGAATGTGCGCTTGATGAACTTCCGCATAAGCATACACTCTTGTAAACACCACCCAGATTAAGGGGCACATTTGCAAAATCCCAGAATATCTCTTTGTGTCCCTTCCTGGTCAGTGCCTCCCTCAGAGATAATTACTCCTCCAATATCCTCTATCGCCATTGAATACTTCTGCCTTTTCTTGAATTTCATATATAATGGAATAATGCAATATGGGCTCTTTTCTGTCTAGTTTCTGCTCAACATAATGACTGTGAGAGTCATCCAAGTTGTTGTGTGTTGCAGTATTTGTCTTTTTTATTGCTATATAATATTCCATGACACAAATTGTCAGAAAACACCACAGTCTGTTTATCTATTTTCTAGCTGGTAGACATTTTATTGTTTCCAGTTTGGGGCTATGAATGTTCTTGTACAAGATTCTTGGTTGATGTATGTTTCCATTTCTCTTGGGTATATACATAAGACTAGGGTTGCTGAATTTTAGGATAGGCATATGTTTAGTTGTAGTGGATATTGGGAACAAATTTTTTAATCAAAAGGAGAGATGATAATAACAGCACCTAGTTTATATGGCTGTTGTGAGGTTAAATGAGATAATTCAAGTAAAGTATTTAAAACTGACACATCAAAATTCACAAAAAGTAAATCATTGCTAGGATGGGAATTGGGGGAAGCATGAAGATTTCTGGTTAACTTTTATTAACTTTTAAGTGTTTCTATAAAGAACTGGAGGCACAAGGAATTTTCTTAAAGTGGTATGATATAAAACTAACACATGACTATTCTTAAAAAAAAAAAATCAAATGAAATGGAAGTGTATAGAGTAAAAGGTGAAGTTCATCCCATTCTTTTTTATTATTAAAGAACAATGCTATGCATTAAGAATTTTTCAGGCATTTTTTTTTATTTCATCTTTACCTTCTTATTTGATGCCGACAGTAGAGGACGGTAGAGGCTGGACCTCCAAAGCTGACTCAAGAGATGCCTCGCCCAGTGCTGGTTGGTCCCTCTCTATGGGCCTCAGTCTCCCCACCCATACAGTGAGGCACCTAATGACCTCAGGGCTCTAATCATCACAGCTCCAGGTCTAGCCCCAGCAGAGGAGGGACCTGAAGTCTCACCACTTGTGTCTTAGGGATACCAGAGCAAAGAGCCATATATCCTCTTAGCCAGAACAGGCATCACCTCGAGTCTCTCCCCAGCTTCATTTACCTGGCAATGGGGTGGCTGGCTGGCCCTGGGAGCCCCTATCCTGTACTTCTGGCCTCCCCTCAGGGGCTGCCAGACTGTTCACTCCCACTCTGCAGGCCAGGGACCGACCCTCCCCTCCCCCAGGTTGGCAGCAAGAAGAGGAAAGAAAGAGAATCGTCTCCAGCTGGCCAGGGAGCCAGACCTTGTGCCCATCAACCCTCCAAGAACCCCCGCCTGTCCTCCCTTTCCCTTCCACCCCCGCCCGAGGCCTGTACACAGGGGCTTAGGATCAGCCAGAAAAGTCAGGCAGCTTTTCAAGGACCGGGGAGTGAGGGGAGGGGAGGTCTCTCAGCCTGGCCCAGATCCAGCCCCTGTGAGCAGTGCAGTGCCAAGCTGTGCCCTGTCCATAACTCCAGATTTTGACCCTGAGCTTCAGTCCCAGCTGGTAGACAGAGGACTGAGGAAGGGACGCCCCAGCATCAGGAGCCTCCCCTCAGGAGACAGGACTCTGCGCCCACAGCAGCTGCCTCTTTTCTCCAGCAGTTTGTCACGCCAGGTGAGTGAGGGTGTGTGTGGGGACACAGCAGATCTTAACGTCCTCTCAGCATCAACAAAGGAGGCTTCACATTAGAGCCTGAGGCCAGTGACAGCCTTGAGTTGGGCAGGGACCTCAGATAAGTACCTTCACCTCTCCAAGCCTCAGTTTCCTTATCTGAAAGACGGGATCATAACTCACCTCTTACAGGGTTAATTTGAGTATCAAAAGAGATGATTAATGTCAAGTGCTCAGCACAGAACTGGGTACATAGCAAGAACTCAATAAATGGTAAATATTATTATTTTGGGGGCGGGAGCTGGTAGCCTGGTTGTTGAACATCTATAGAATCTGTTCCATTTTAAAGATAAACTGAAAATATCAACCTTATAAGAAGTAGCCGTATGGAGCCACCTGGAATAGCTAATTATATTCATTCAAATACCTCACCTGTGACTTGGTGATTTTTTCAGAGCAAGTCTTTCCTATTCTTTGCTCCACGCATATAGCCATCAAAGGCATAAGCTGCCTCAAATTCCTTTCTGGGGACAAGAGAAGTTATAAGCAAACAAATACAAGACTGAAATGCAAGCAGAAAGTGTCAGTGCCAGCTTATTGCTGGCTGCCTAAATAGTTTAATAAGTACAGAAAGCTCAGATAGAACTGGGTCCAGATCCGAATGCTGGCCCACCCAGGCTATGTGACTTTGGGAGAGTGACTTCCTCTCTCTGAACCTCAGTCCCACCTCTGTAGAACCTTTAAGTAAGAGGATGTCTGTACTGCAACTACATGTGTCTGGCAAGTGACAGACAACCAAAAGTATTCCGTTCCTGCTCCACACTTACATAGACATTATAATTACACACACACACACACACACACACACACACACACACACACGCACACACAGATAAATGTAATAACCCAGATGTTTGCATTTTCCTAGATGCACACTCCAAGCATGCTTCATTGAAGTAATGGCATTAAAATGGAGGTGATCTGAAACACTAATGAAAAATTAGCAACAACAAGAAAATGGCTGACTTAAGGACTGAGCTCTGTGCAGAAGATCATTGCCCACACACGTGAATAATTTTACCTGAGGCTGGGTCTGTCAGATTCTACAACCTGGCTCCCACTTCTAATAAGAACCTCATGCATTTATACTGCACTTTAACACACACACACGGAGTTGCTATAATCAGTATCAAATTTGATTCACATCGTTTATTAAGGTAATTGACTTGGGAAACACATTTTTTCTCTTCAATTCTATGCTTATCACCAACATACTAAAAATTCCTACATTTGTTGTCTTTTATGTTTTTCTTTTTTCGATGCAGAATCCTGAAACATGGGGGTTTCTGTTCACCTGCTTGACCCTCAGATTTTTCACTGGGGAATCAGGCCAGCCTGGGCTCCGCCTCTCACCAGCTGGCTGGCTGAGTCTCAGGTGCCTGATCTGTAAAATGGGTGTAATAATAACCCCAGGGGTTGTTAGAAGATTAAAGCAGATAATGCATGTAAGGTTCTTAGCACAATCCTAGGAGTTGAAAAACTAGCAGCTGCTATCACTGTTGTTTATCTCCCCATGGCAGTTTTTTCTCTTGACGTGACCTATTCCTGTCTTTTACAGAGACTTTTTAACCCCAAGACCCCACAAATCCTTTTATCACAAATGCGTGACTTGGGATGATTTGCTTCTCTTCTCTAGGTCTCAGTTTCTCCATCTGCATGATGACGTCTTGCTCACCTTTAGGATTTTACACGGTGGAGATACCGAGCCCCGTGCTGTTCTTTTTCCCTTTTTATCTTGCCAGCTGGTTCCAGAAGTTGCTCTGGGTCCTCTCTTATGCTCTTCTCTTGGGCATGAGACATTGCTCTCCTTTGGTCGAAAGGCTCCTTCTCCCTGCCCAGAAACGTCGTGAGGGGTTTCAAACTCCTTCTCTCACCTCACATACTTTTATTATATAAATAGCTCCTTTTTTTTTTTTTTTCCAATCCTTTACTGGTTTTCTAGGTGGCATGAGAATGGAAAAAACTCCAGTACTAGAAAAGACAGAGCTGGGTTCATACCCCTTCCCTTCCTCTAACTCTTGCTATGACCTTGGATAATTAACTGTGCTTTCTCCCAGCCTCAGCTGCCTCATTTGTAAACTGGTGATGATGATAATCGCTGCCGTCATTTGTGAGCTCTCTCGCACTTTATGAGTATTTTCTCTTTTGATTCTCACGAGAACTCCATTCATTAGTTTGTTTATTCATTCATTCATTCATTCACTCATTTATTAGTACTTGCTATGGGCCAGGGGATAGAGCAGAAGACAAAAGTCCCTGCTATTCTGGAGCTGATGTTCTGGTGGGGAGACAATAGGCAGAGAGAAACTCAGGACGACCAACTCATTCAGGTTTGCCACAGGACTCTCCTGGTTTTAGTGCTCAGAGTCCACACCTTGGGGACACCCTCAGTCCTGGAAAATCGGGGAGGTTGGTCACCCTGGCTCACTAAAGTTAAGCAACTTGTCTATGGGCACATAGCTGGTGTGTGCCAGGGCCAGGTTGTGAATCTGGGTGTGTCTGACCCCCAGCCTGGGTTATTATTGTTATTATTGCCTCCTCCTCATGTCATGCCACCTTCTGGATTCATTTCGGGGAATTTCGAAAATACAGGAAAGCCCTCTACTTCTCCCTCTTACTGTTAATGTGAAAAAGTGGTCAATTTAGACATTATGCAGAGACAGTCAGAAGGCCCAAAGAGGGGGAAGTAACTTGGCCAAGGTCACACAGCGAGCAAGAAGTAAAGCCAGGTCTGACTCGCTCTTCTTTCTCTCATCTCCTTCTCATCCGATGTTCTTTCTTTTGATATTTCCAAGGTGCTGGGGGACAGAAGGAGGCTTCCATGTATTGAGGGCCTACTCCGTGCCAGGCATTGTACCAGAAGCTGTTACCTAGCTGGTCATTTACTCTTCAGGACAACTCCATGAGATCAGTTTACTCTTATTTTATAGACAAGGAGGTTACAGAGGGAAGCTGAGGTCCCTAGGAAGGTCTGTCCTCCACCCCTCAACCAAGCCCAGGCTGGCAGCTGGAAGGAGAATCATCCAGAGCAATGATGCCTTTTTGTTTTTTGGTTTTATCTCCAATTTGGCTGCTGAAACCCCAATAGAATCCAGTTCTTGTAAGCCGGAGCTGTTTCCCTCTTTACAAAACTAGGCCATACTGAGAATGTCCTGCTATTCAGGGCCACAGGCCCAAGTTGCCAAGTTGCCAAGAGCCAAAGTCTGTGGGAGGAGAGTTGTGAGTAAAAAGGAGGGAAAGTTGAATTTGGCCCTTCCGGACACAAAACGTCCCCTTGTTCTGCCTCAGCAGGAGCCGGCAGAATATTTCCCTGCTGTGCGAGCCCAAGCAGCTTCAAGGTCAAAAGCTGCCAGGCCTTCTAAACTTCTGAGGACCCAGGCAGCCCAGCACCCCAAGGCAGGCTCTGAGAGGGTATGCTGGAAGACCTGAGTTCTGAGGCCAGGCATTGCATCTGATTGTATTCACAGCTGCATCCACTAGCTGCCAGCCTGGCACACAGTAGGTGTGCAATAAGTGGGTGTCAAGTTTATTTGAATTGAAATTAAATCCTAGCAACACCACTTCCTAGCTGTGTGACCTCAGGTAGGTGACTTCACCTCTCTGAGCCTCAGTTTCCTCAACTATAAAGTGGAGCCAATAACACTAGTCCCTACCTCACAAGAAGTTGGAAGACTTAGCTGAAATAATGCATGAGAAGCTCATAGTGCTGAGGCTGGCACACAGTAGGTGCTCCACAAATGTCAGTAAGTCGCTCTTTTGTATTAGACAGTGTTAAGCATTTTACATTTGCCATCCTGATAAATCTCCAATCTACTCTTTGAGGCACAAGTTAATTTTCCCATTTTCTAGAAGGGGAAATTAAGAGTCATAAAGTCTCTTGCCCAAGTTAATGGCCAGTGGGCAGCAAATTTTGGATTTAAAGATGGTCCATTGTCCCTAAGCATTTCTCTGCAGCCTAGAGCTGGCCAGGCACTCTGCTAGGCCTTTTATAGATTCTCTGCTCAAAACGGTATTTGGGGAGGCTTCCCGGAGAAAGTGGTATCACTTACCAGCTGTGTGACTTTGGGCAAGGTGCTTTGTCTATCCATACCAATTTTTCCATTTGTGAGTGTCATTGAGAAGATCAAGTATAAAAAGGGCTTGGTAGTATCTCTCACTTTCTAAGCTTTCAGTGGGTGGTGGCGATGGCAGTGATGGTGATAGAGATGATGGTGATAGAGATGACCGTGATGACAGCACATCTCGACCCTTCCTTCCTGCAGGTTGGCACAATGCGCGTGGTAGTGATCGGAGCAGGGGTCATTGGGCTGTCCACCGCTCTCTGCATTCATGAGCACTACCACTCGGTCCTGAAGTCACTGGACATGAAGGTCTACGCAGATCGCTTCACACCGCTCACCAACACCGATGTAGCTGCTGGCCTCTGGCAGCCCTACCTCTCCGACCCTAGCAACCCACAGGAGGCGTGAGTGAGGGTCCCAGAGGGTGGCCGGGGGGGCCAGAGGGGCTGAGTCTGCAGAGGAGATACTCCCTCTCAGGGTCCCTTGTCACTGAAAACAAGCCTTTTGTGGAGGCTATAGCCTGGCATGATGTGAAAAAAATAATGAATATTAAGTCCCTTCTATGTGCCAGACAGATGCTACACTTGATCTTAGCAGTGATAGAAATGATGTGTGCCAGACAAATGGAGG